CGGTCCCGTACCGAGTTCATTTTCAAAACCATCTTCAATAAAGGAATCATTTCTCTTTGTGTCGAACTAAAGAGATAGGATTGAGTGTAGACTTCTTCCTCTCCGAGTATTAGGATATTCACTGTACTGTGGATGGTCTCGATACTCGTCTTTCAATACGAAGACGCGCCTTTATTCACCACCTCACACTTTCACAACTTCCTTCCGCAACCTTTCTCACCTAAAACCTCAGCCCCGCACCGAGCGCATTTTCAAACCCTTTTAATAAAAATTCTCTTTGTATTGAATTAAAGAGAGAGAATTGAGTGTAGACTTCTTCCTCTCCGAGTGTCAGGATACTCGCTGTAGTGTGGGTGGTCTTGATACTCGTCTTTCAATACGAAGACGTTTTTTCCCTTTTCACAACTTCTTTCCACAACCTCTTCACCTAAAACCTCGGTCCCGCACCGAGGGCATTTTCAAATTATTTTCACAACAAAAGCTTGAATGGTCGTGGAGTGGTTAGGCGTAGGCCTTCTTCTATCCCGAGTGTTGACATTTGCCGTAGGTTTCTTTGTCGTAAAGCACTTACCATTCAAAACCAAAAACATATTTAATAAGAGAATGAAGTTCTCTTTGCATTTGAATTAAAGAGAGAGGATTGAGTGTAGACTTCTTCCTCTCCGAGTGTCAGGATACTCACTGTAGTGTGTGTGGTCTTGATACTCGTCTTTCAATACGAAGACGTTACGTTCGCCACACCATTTTCATAACAAAAACTTTGAGATAAAGAATTGGGTACTACCCGCAAGGGGTTACTATCCGAGGACCTATCTCGCCCTAAAAACAATTCAACCAATCAAACATGACTTCTTGCCTCGCATGGTGAAAACCAGTCTTTCAAAAAGGATATGTTACGTCTGTTCTACCGCAAACAAGTAACGCATAAGTCTCCTCACATGCGAGCAGCAAAAACCTATACTGCTAGAATGCGCACGATAGCATCATCCACAAAACACCAGTTATCCGTAGTAGCACGAACTGCGTTGCTCTGATTTCTCATGCATATTGAGAATACGTAGGCATAGGATTGCGATATCCTAGCGAGCACCATTTTTTCTTTTTCACCCTTTTCCCAGAAAGGCATGCTACGTCCATTCTACCGCAAACAGGTAACGCTTAAGTCTCCTCACATGCGAGCAGTAAAACACCTAAACTGCTAGAATGCGCACGATAGCATCGTCTACCAGAACTCATCCGCAAACCGTAGGCCGAACTACGGTTGCTTTGATTCTTTACTTCTTTTAAGTAAAGATACGTAGGCACAAGGGTTACAATCCTTGTCGAGCACATTCCCCCTATATTTGTAGTTCCCCGAACTACGTCAACTCTGACTTTCTCATACCTTTTGAGAATACGTAGGCCTAGAACCGCGAAGTCCTACAGAGTCTGTTCTTTCTCTCTTTTTCCCCGTTACTTCTCTCTCTCCTATTTCTAACCCTTTTCTCCCTTTCTTTTGGAACACTTTTTATAGCATAATATTTAAGAAAATAAATTCACACGTCGACAAACAAATGGTTCCCATCGAGTACGATGGATGCGAGGGGTGCTAATACCTTCCCCTCGCATAACCGGCTTCTGAACCCGTTCTTGGTCGCGAAACCATCTTATCCATTGCTTTCTTAAGGTTTTCTCGATATTTTCCTTTCCCCTCATAGGATAAATAAAGTTCGGTGGCGACTCTTCTGTCTATCTTTTTCGCCTCCCTGTCGTTGCACGATGCATTTTTCGAGTAGCGACAACACATAACATTTATTTTATGCAAAGAATGGAAACATATCTTTCTAAAATGAAAATAATGTGACGTCATTGTAGCCATAAAGCCAAAAAAATCCCTATTATGAAAATGGATGTTATAACTTATAACCAAGTTGAAGATGAGAAACAATGTATCATATGTAATATGATGAAGAAATTGAAAAAAGTTACCGAATGGAAACAACAAAAAGCTTTGTTTTGTGCTTTCTATGATCTTACGTTGCAAAGAAAATGAGACAATGGGCAAAGTGAAAAGTTAAACAGTAAAAATAGGTTGTTAAACAAAAATTGATACTATGTCTAAAAATTATAATCGACGGTATCTTAAAAAAAACCAGAATTGTTAAACAAGAGCATAATGGTAAAACCATTGCTCATACGAGGGTGCAGGTTATATTTGGAGATTGAAAGAAGAAAATTTTACCCGATACCCCATCATTTATTCCCCTACCCCTATGTTATATATTTTTTCACCAAAATATTCTCATATAAATAATTGTAAAATTTTCTTGATTTAATTATGTGATCCATAATTTAATAAATAAATTTGTCTTTAAAAACTACTTTATTAATATTCTCAACAAACATGACAAGTATTATCTATATCTATTATATAATCTTATAATGTTTCCATCAAAGATTTTCCGCTAATTTTTTTTTATATTTAATTAATTAATTAAATATAAATATATTTATTATTAACTCTATCATTTAAAACTTCTGACTAAGTCACATTCTTATATTTTAAATAATTATAATTAACAAATGCAATAAGACACGGCCTGAATTTTTAAAAAATGTAGTCACCTACCAATAATATATTTACCATAATAACTACTCAGCATAACTTTTCTCTTCATTCTACTAATTAATCTTTTATTATTAATAATTAAATATTATTATTATTAATTAAATAATAATTAAATTAAAATATTTAACATGTTTATTTTTCAAATTTCTCTTCACTCAACCCTCTCTATTTATATCATACAAACAATTAACATCTCTCCACTCATAATATCTCTCTAACCCCACAATAATAGGACATATAGTAATAATAAATTTTAAAAAAAGTAAATAAATTAGACATATAATGCAAATCTTAAAATTACTTAATACAAAAACAAATTAATAAATATAAAGTTAAAACTAAAAATAAAGGTAAAGATTAAACTAATCATAATGCAAATCTTTATTTTATTTTTGGTTTTCTATTTTTCTTACTATTTCTTTGATTACTCTTATTTTTTCTTAACTTTGTCTTTTTTCTTAATTTAGAAAAATTTTGTTATTACTAAAACTTTTTAAAACTACTAAAAACACTTAAAAATGCTCTTGAAGTTTAAAAAAAAACAAAGTTAAGAAAAAATGAGAGTATTTTTAATTTTATACTCACACAATATTAATTTTATACTTACACAATAATTAAATTAAAATATTTAACATGTTTATTTTTCAAATTTCCCTTCACTCAACTCTCTCTATTTATATCATACAAACAATTAACATCTCTCCACTCATAACATCTCTCTAACCCCACAATAATAGGACATATAGTAATATTAAATTTTAAAAAAAGTAAATAAATTAGACATATAATGCAAATCTTAAAATTACTTAATACAAAAACAAATTAATAAATATAAAGTTAAAACTAAAAATAAAGGCAAAAATTAAACTAATCATAATGCAAATCTTTATTTTATTTTTGGTTTTTTATTTTTCTTACTATTTCTTTGATTACTCTTGTTTTTTCTTAACTTTGTCTTTTTTCTTAATTTAGAAAAACTTTGTTATCACTAAAACTTTTTAAAACTACTAAAAAAACTTAAAAATGCTCTTGAAGTTAAAAAAAAAAAAAAACAAAGTTAAGAAAAAATGAGAGTATTTTTAATTTTATACTTACAAAATATTAATTTTGTTTGTTTGGTGGTTTAAAAAAAAAGACAAAGTTAAAAAAAAATAAGAGTATTTTTAAAAATAAGAGTATTTTGTTTGTTTGGTTGGTTTTCTATTTTTAAAAAAACTTCAATAGCATTTTAAAGTTTTTTTAGTAATTTTAAAAAGTTTTAGTGATAACATAGTTTTTCTAAATTAAGAAAAAAGACAAAGTTTTTAAAAAAAAAAGAGTAATCAACGAAATAATAAGAAAAATAGAAAATCAAAAATAAAATAAAAATTTGCATTATAATTAGTTTAATCTTTGCCTTTATTTTTTGTTTTAACTTTATATTTATTAATTTATTTTTGTATTAAGTAATTTTAAGATTTGCATTATATATCTAATTTATTTACTTTTTTTAAAATTTAATATTACTATATGTTCTATCATTGTGGGGTAGAGAGATGTTATGGGTGAAGAGATGTTAATTGTTTTTATGATATAAATAGAGAGGGTTGAGTGGAGAGAAATTTGAGAAATAAATATGTTAAATATTTTAATTAAATTAATAATAATAATAATAATATTTAATTATTAATAATAAAAGATTAATTAATAGAATGAAGAGAAAAGTTATGTTAAGTAGTTACTATAGTAAATATATTATTGGTAGGTGACTGCATTTTAAAAAAAATTCAGGACGTGTTTTATTTCATTTGTTAATTAATTATTATTTAAAATATAAGAATGTGACTTAGTCAGAAGTTTTAAATGATAGAGTTAATAATAAATATATTTATATTTAATTAATTAATTAAATAAAAACAATTTAGTAGAAAATTTTGGATGGAAACATTATAAGATTATATAATAGATATAGATAATATTTGTCATGTTTGCTGAGAATATTAATAAAGTAATTTTTAAAAATAAATTTATTTATTAAATTCTAGATCAAATAATTAAATGAAAAAAATTTTATAATTATTTATATGAGGATATTTTGATAAAAAAATATATAAGGTAGAAGTATGAGAATAAATGATGGGATATGGAATAAAATTTTCTGGAAAGAAAAACTCTTGTGAAAGAAATTTAATGGACTAAAGGGCCAACCCGAATAAAATGTTGTTTGTCAGCATCCTACAAACTCTACCTCTAAGACTATCACACAAACTCATGAAATCGTGTGGCAGATAATTCAGATAGAACTCCATTCCCAAATCCTACTTTTCTCTCCTCTCCAATCACCACACTCACCAGTGAAACAAAAAAAAAAAACTCACAGAGGGAAGAAAAAACCTCCAAAATCACCACCGCAATGGCCACAATGATCATAGCTTCATCCAAACCAGTAATCCGAATCCCCACAAACTCCCTCCCCACCACCACCCCCAAACTCCCCTCCCTCCATCTCTCCCTCCCAACCATCTCCCCCAAACTCAAACTCCATCTCTCAAAACTCAAATCCCTAACCCTAGCCACAACCTCCCTCTCCTTCGCCTCCTTCGCCTTCGCGCCGCCCTCCTTGGCCTTCGAAAAAGCCGCACTCTTCGACTTCAACCTCACTCTCCCCATCATCGTCGTCGAGTTTCTCTTCCTCATGGTCGCCCTAGACAAACTCTACTTCACGCCTCTCGGGAATTTCATGGACCAAAGGGACGCTGACATCAGAGCCAAACTCAACAGCGTGACGGACACGTCGGCGGAAGTGAAGCAGCTGGAAGATCAGGCGAATGCTATTTTGAGAGCCTCGCGTGCGGAGATCGCGGTGGCGCTGAATCAGATGAAGAAAGAGACACAGGCTGAAGTTGAAGCGAAGATTGCGGAAGGGAGGAAGAAAGTGGACGAGGAATTGCAAGAGGCGCTTGCTAATTTGGAAAAGCAGAAGGAAGAAACGATTAAGGCTCTTGATTCTCAGATTTCGGCTCTTAGCCAGGACATTGTAAATAAGGTTCTCCCCACTTCTTAATCGCTTGTAATTCTATGAATATATTGCTATAAATTTCAATCCATCACTAATGGAACCATTGTAATTTCCAATGTTGTATCGGTGAACAATTTTATATTATATGTATAATCTCAAATTCACTTGTTCATGTTTGTGTGTATTGGAGAAGAAAGTTTGAATGTTCATTTGCTTAAAGAATTGGTTTTATGCTAATTTACTCCACATCAATAGGTGTTCCAAATCTTTCTTAAAAGTGGGATTTGAGTCCTAGTTCGAGCTAGTACTCTTATCATTCATAGCATGATGATAGTATATCCCGGGTTTACATCACTTGCACACACATCCCACACCAACCACTTGTTCTAGACCCTGACCATGATATACGATAATGTGTTTTGGAGCATTCCTAGCAAGATTTAAGATCGAGATCTTGCATAAGATCAGATGAAAATAATAAGATTATTAATTATAAAATTGTAAGTAAGATTGAAAAATCCCATTCAATTGTTTTTTAAAATTGAGGGAGGATACCAAAATTATAAAACATAAGATCACATTAAAAATTCGGAATTGGTCCTAGCCAAAGACAAGTGAGGCTATGACTTTAGGCTTGAAATTTTTGACCCTTTAAAATACTTCTCAAATGCTAGAAAATGGAGAATTTTACTTGTGGCCCCCTTAAATTAAGCTTCGCACCCCAAATAGCAGTGTCATTTGCCTATATTTACCTTGGCAATTAAAGTCATTTCACTATTGCATTGTAACATTTTGAATTTTTTCAAAGCTCTCGAACTTTTTGGATTTTTCTTGCATTCTGCTGGAATTAAGGCCAATAAGGTATATTTTTTCTGAATTTTTAAAGAAAACATGCATTTTTACTAGTTTTTTTTAGAAATATCCGATAAAAACTCACGTGTCTCGTGCATTTTTATCAATTTTTTTTAAAAACTTGATAAAAATGCATAATTTGTACAGGTTAATTTGAAAAACCGTTAAAAATTCATGTTTCCTACAAATTATTTTGAAAAAAACTTAGGAAAATGCATGTTTTCTACTAGCTATTTTGAAAAACCGATTAAAATGCATTTTTTCAACTGTTTTTCTTTTTAAATTAAAAAACCGGTAAAAGTGCACGCGCATGCAATTTTACCGGATAGTTTGATCACAAGCATTTTAATTTAAAAAGACTGTAGAAATTCGCAGCTTAATCACAAGAAGTGTCCCAGCTTCATCACAAGCATTTCGCAGAGACTGTAGAAATTCTTTTGTAGCACTGTATATTCCCCCTTCTCCTTGGATAGGTTCGACAAAAACAGCAGCAATTTTGCCCTGCCGAATTAACTCTACAGCAGCTGATGCATTTCCGTACTCTATAAAGTTCACTCCGGGCATAACAGGTTCAAAAGGTGTTCTATACTGCACTTTACTTGTTAAAGCAACTGAGCCCATGGTAATGTTGTTAGGCTTGTTCCACCATTGATTATAACAGAACAGGAGATTGAGCAAGCAACTGATATTCTGTCCCAAACTTTGCATGTCTTGGATGCCAATAATTCAAAGTAGGAGAAAGAAGCTTTATTTGCTTGCTGGAAGTTATCATGAATATATTGTATAATAAGTATGTGGCAGATGAGATGATTTTGCATTGATGCTTTCATTGTATGTCAGAAGGGTATGTGGCTATTTTGCCATCTGAAGTGTAATAATTGTGGAGTTTTTTATTTATCATTTCTCTTCTCCATTTTGTCACTTGTCTATCATTTATGCAAAAGAGTTGGGACCTCATAATTGGTATGAAATATTTGAAAAATATAGTATATCTTTTGGATATATTTGATTATTAAAACCTTAATCTCAGCTAAAAGTGCACCTGATATAATTTGATATATACTATGAGGAAAAGTACATCAGGAGATTCTGCAATATTTACTTTCACCCTATCACTTTATCAACCAAGCTCACTATGGCTACTGAATATCCTATCCTGAACTGAACAAGCTGGTTCAGTTTTTCAAAATCATAGTTATTGAAAATCTTGATCAAGGAAAGCTTGTGTAAGTCCTTCATTTAGATTCTTTCTTCATATCATCTTACTTTGTATTTTGCTTCCACAAAACCATACTACCTTATTTCAACATTTTATAATACCATGACATATAATAAAAAGAATTTTATTTTTTGTAACATTTTGTCTGAAGAATCTCCTTCTTTGGTGTTAACTAATTTTCAACTTTATCATTTTTCTCTTTCTTTCCATTTTAATGTTTCAAATTACATCTTACATACTTGTATAACACGCTTCAACACTCTTGTAAACTCAACACTGCTTTGCTTCCATCATCACCTGCAATTTTTAACCTACTATTGAAGCTTTTACTGCAGCTAGCTAGCTACTGAATTCTTTTACTTTATTTGCTGTCAACTTTCAGTCAGTCACTCAACAAAACATACTCTCCCTCACTCAACTACTACGTACTCTCTCTCTCATTCACAAACACTTTCATCAATCGTCTTCTTCATCCTACGAGGTTTGTCCACTAACTCTATATTTTGCTTTGTTTTTACGATTATCCTGTGTTCAAGCACAATATGTGTGTTGCAATACTGAATCTTTCATGTTACATTTTCATGATTCTGTTTCTCACTCTTTCATGTTTCTGTTTATGTTCAAGGTTTGTGTGTATTGTGTTGAAGCTTTAATGTTTTAACATCTCAGCTTCATTTGCATTTCCCGGTTTCATTTGTATTTTTCATCTCTTTCAACTGTGTACTTTCATTCTCTATTTGTGTTTTTCACTTAACTACACATTTCTACTTTCTTCAAGTGTCACAGCTTCAAGGTTTGTGTATGCTGTTCAAGTATTAGTGTGTATTTTGTTCAAGATTTGTGTGTATGCTGTTCATGTTTCTGTTTAGGTTCACGATTTGTGTGTACTTCTTTATTTCCATTTTTTTCTCCAACTACTAACATCAATCTACTACCTTTGATGTCAAGGCCTGTCTCCCAGTTTTTCACGATCATAGTTACTGAAAATCATCAACAAGAAAAGCTTGTAAAACCTTGTGTAAGTATCTTTTAAGATCATCTTACTTTGTATGATCCGACTTGTTTCCTCAATTCGGTCTGTTTGTTATATGCTTATTAATCAGTTTTAATTATTTGACAGACTTTACCAATAAAGTTTGTGAAGAAATATGGAGAAGGTTTAGGAAAAGTTATATGTTTAAAGACTCCGGACGGGAAAGATTGGAAAGTAAATTTGGTTAAGAAGGATGACAAAATATGGTTTGAAAAGGGTTGGAAAGAATTTGTAGAATATCATTCTTTATCTCATGGTCATTTTCTGGTTTTCAAATATCGAAGACATTCCAAATTTCACGGAGATATCTTTGACAATACTAGGGTAGAGATAGACTACCCTCTCAAAAGAGTTCAAGCTGAAAAGGTGTCCAGCAATGAAGAAGATTGTAGAACAAGTAAGAGAAACATCATACTCACAAAAGGAGCAAAGGTATAATTAAGATTCTTTTTACATGTTAACATAAGTTAAGCTTTTGTTCTCTTCAATTCATGTCTGATATGTCTAGTAAAATCATTAGGAAGTGACATACATTATTATTAACATGAAAAATGATTGTGAACTATATTGAGATGTTTCATTTTTGCAGGAAAACAAGTGAATACAACACTTGAAAGTGAAAAAGAGTTCAAAACATCTAATCCATCCTTTATTCTTGTCATGCGTACATCATATGTTGAAAGCCGGTTTCTCTTGGTAAGTAGCAAAGAAACGTTGTAAAATAATTTGAATAATATAGCGCACAAGTTAGTAAAACTATTTTACACAGTTACTGTTAGGATATAGAATAAAGTATGTTTAGAGTAGTTTACAACTGTAAGAGAAATTAGTGAAGTTTCTATTCATTAACATTTACCTTTTATCTTGCTTGGCAGACAATTCCTTGTGAATTTGGTAAGAGACATTTTGACATGGAAAAGAAGATAGGAAACATTTATTTTCAGGTGTTGGATGATGAAAGAGTTTGGCCTGCACGGTACGCAATCAGGATGACCGAAAGAAGAATAATGTTTGAAGTGACAAGAGGATGGACAAAATTCTCAAAGAACTATAATTTGAAAGTCGGCGATGTTTGTAATTTTGAGCTCATTCTTAAAACTAACATGACGTTTCAAGTTCACATCTTTAGAAAAACAAATGAAGACAACACAGATCGTCCAACATCTGCAAGTAAGACTAATTGATGTTTAGTTTTCATTTTAATCCTATTCACCTCTTGTTTCTCATATTATTAAGAAATTTTATTCTTCCGTTTTATGCAGAAACTTCTCAACAGAAGAATAAAGCTACTCAAGGATAAAAAAAACAAATAGAAATCATCACTACCATCAATTCACACAAGAAATTTCCTTGAATGGTGATGACTAAAGTGAAGCTAGTCCTATGTACTATTTTGAAAAAGCAACATCAGTTGCTGAGCAACCCTGTCTGAGTGATGTTTTGATGATAAAAATGCAACAGAATAATTTGTCTACTTAACTACAATCCGTTTACAAACTGAAGCTCTAATTAAAATCTGCATTTAATAACCATATTAAAAACCATATAATATGAATTGGTGTATCTGTAATGCCGTCATCTCTACCTCAATATGTAAAACGTCAGATTTTCTTATTCTATATAATTTTAAATGTGCATGGTCGAATATTTAGCATTTAATAATTTTCACAAAATATTCAAAAATAAAAGTATCATGTTCTTTTTGTGGGGTATAGTATAGTCGAACCAATTTCTTCTACTTAAAAGGTTAGTGACTAAACATAATTTTTTATGAAAATTTCTTAATACATTAGAGAGTTCTTCGTCACTACGCTAATTTTTTAATTTCGGATATATATCTTCGAACGTACTTAGTTTTGAATAAATGTTGACATATTTTACAGATGCACCTCCGAAATCATTTTAAATATTCAAAAGTGCTTGAGTTGTGAAAGTCTTATTTAGCTAGTCTGATTGAGAAAAAAGAAAGTCTTAGACATGTGCTCTAAGTAAGGGAAGTCTCAGACAGTTGGTCTGAGCAGTTATAAAAGTCTTATGCAGAAGTATAAGTGGTTGTAATCATGAAGTGATTATAATGAAAAGCTCTTGTGAGACAAGGGGACTGGACTACTCTCAGTTAAGGGAGGAACCAATATAAATCTTTTGTGTCTTCTGCTATTATTTTATTTACTTCTGTTGTATCCACTGTCAACCGAATTAAGTCAGAATCTGAACATCAGTTCTGATTCTAAAACTCTAATCGGAAACTAAATAATAAGAAAACACGAAACACAATTCAACCCCCTCCTTCTTGTGTACTTTTCACACCTTCATATACAAGGGTGTCCAAAATATAAAACTAAGAACTAGATCATTGCAAGATGATCTCCAAAATAATTGCACAACAGATACGCCATCCAAAATATCAAAAGAAGCTAGGACATCATGCTACTTTGTCATTACCCTTCGCCGAATCAGAACTACATGAAAATAATCAACAAACATGGGGTGAGATGATAATTGCAATGGGTTCCCTATCTTATGGGTCCACTCAGCTCTACAAGGTCCTAATCAAGCCTAACTCAAGTCTTAAGGGGGAAAATGGACTCAAGCTCATAATACTCACATTTTATGGAGACATGCCTCATGAGTTTATCAACTCAAACAATCACTAATCGGAAATCATACCAAGGCACCTTTCCCCGATCAACCCTACGTCTAGAATTCTCAACACGGGTCATAAATCCTTGTATCATACTTCGACATTCTTGAGCACCTTCAATTCTTCTATGGAAATCTAACCCATTTGGTTGAACATATGTGAATCTAACCCATTTGGTTGAACATATGGAAATTTTAACCCATTTGTTTGAACATATGGGAATCTAACTCATTTGGTTAATGCGAAGTATCGGTGCATTCGTCTCAATCTTACTCTATAAAAGTACCATGACTTGGAACGACACGATCAAAGGTTGTTTCTGACTACGTGATTAAATAAGGGACATTGTGATTGTATTCGACAACCACAAGGCGACCACAACACCTTAGTATTCACAACAACATACATGTTCCACACAATGCATCACCTTTCAACTATAGACAACCACTTACCAATGACACACACCTAGGTATCATATGCACAAGCATTGCCATCTATGAAATTCATTATAGTCTAATTATCTTGCTAATTCATTTCATTAATTGATATTAAGGGTTTCCTCATCAATCCTTATAACTTTTCAATCATGTTATCAATAAATCACAAGCAACCATTCACATATGAGAAACATGCATAAACCCGTAATAGTTAACATAAGATAACTCATAATATAGCCAAGCATGCATGTGAAACAATCCAAACAATTAACAAAGCAATTTCTCAAAGTTCTGTCACGGTCGTCCAGCAAGCAGTCAGCAAGGTTGGCTCGCGTTTGGTTCGTCTGACGAACCCCAAGCGAGGTGCAAATAGAACCAAAACTGCATCATGGTCGCCTGGCGAGAAATCAGCGAGGTAGCTCGCTTTCTGTTCGTCGAGGCTCGTCCAGCGACGCTAGCAGAAAACAGATCGCCACGGGCTCGTCAAAGCTCGCTTAGTGACGACGTTGAATTCTGTAAAAATTCTGCATAAGTAAGACAACGAATGAAAGGGTTTCACCAATACTCATACATGTTCATTCTCAACAAGAAGGTCGACACATAAACACACAACAACATGAATAACAATAAAATCATAAGATTCTCATGAGAAATGGGAGGAATATATCACAAACCAAAACCATCAATTCTATCTACAAATCTCTATTTCTTTCAGCCTAAAGTTTCTACCTAGAACTCACCTTGCAATGAGGAAGAAGAAGTTGTTGACTGATGAAGATGTGATGATGTTGATGAGGGATGATGAAGGCTTTCAATTTTCTTCTTCTTCTTCTTCTTCTAGGTTTTCTTCTTCTTTCATCTACTATTTCTTTTTATATTTCTCTTCTAATCTGTAAGTTCTATAATATCGGGATTGGCAGCAATTTTGTTAAAACAAGTTTCACAGCAAGATGTTGAGCCAGATGTCTTGACATGTTGGTCAGACTTCATTGATGGTCATCACGATGTCGTGACCTGATGTCATGACATGTTATACCAGAAGTTTAGGGTTTTCTGTTTTGGAAGATTTATTATTTAAAGTGTGATACTCTATATGATTTTAGTTTTCACTCTGTCGCAATCCAAGGAGGGATATTTTAGGAACATCAGTCTATGAAAGAAATGCATCTGTTTCATAAAAAGAATCTTGGAGACTTTTTAGAAAACTTATTTTTTAGTTCCTATTTTTGTGCAGAAGATCTTGGAGAAGATTCGAAGCTGTTGTTTTGGGATTTGTGAATTATTTAGCTGAAGAGCCCAAGCCCTTGATATTCAATAGATATAAAAGGAGAAGCTCTAAACTTAATGCTTTGGAAAAAAATCGTATATTAAAAGAGAGTATTAGGGTTTAATGTGTCTGTGTTTTTTGTGATCTTTGATATCTGAGTTGGACTGTGTTGTTTTTTTGTGTTATTTATAAGCCATTCATGTACCACTTTGGTGCTTGAGTTAGATTGAGTTTTGAGTTGTAATCACTCATAAGCTTTTAAGCAAAGAATGGATTTTGTGTCATTGGAAGCGTGTCTTCCTCTTTGATTGTTTTTGTTGATTACCACTGTTGTGTGATTGAGGGAAGTGAGAAGGGTCTCATATTTATGAGTTCCTAGGTAGAAATAGCACGGGTAGTGATTAGGTGAGAAGTTGTAAACCAGAGGTTGTTTGCTGAGGCTTCAAACTAATACTATTATAGTGGATTTCCTTCTTGGCTTGGATGTCCCCAGATGTAGGTGAGGTTGTACCGAACTAGGTTAACAATTGACTATGTTATTTATATTCAAGATTTTAATTTAAATGCATAATTGTTGGTGTTCTCATACTGTCCTGATCCTACTGTCGTAACATCTTACTCGACATTTGGTACATGTTACTAAAGAGAATGAACAGAAAGTCAAGGCCTAATGTCAAGAGCATCGTATCTGACATCAGCAAGAACTATGATTCTCTAAGAAAAGCAAGAACAGAAGAAAGGTTTAATCAAAGTAAAGGGGTTCAATGTCATGAATGTGAAGGCTTTGGACATATTAGAGCAGAGTGTTCTACCTATCTCAGGAAACAACAAAAGGGGCTGTCAATTTCTTGGTCTAATTACGAAAGTGAAACTGAGGATGAATCTGCTAAACTCGAAACTGCTCTAACTAGAATGTGGGCATCTGATGTAGATTCATGTGATGAAGAAACTCCTTATGCTGGTATGGTTATTTCTTACAAATATCTGTGCATCAGAAGTGACAAGCAAAAGGAAACTATTTCTCAACTTCAGATTGAAAAGGAAGAATATGTATCAACCATCTGTGGTTGCAAGAGGAGGTAACTATGTTGACTTCTAAACTTGAAAACATGACCAAATCTGTAAGAATACTGAACAATAGTTTTGATATGTTAGATGAAATTCTTCAAGTTGGAAAGAGGGGGGAAGCCTGAAAGGTATAGGCTTTGACTATCAATCTCTGAAAGGAGACACCCATGTAACAAAGCTTGTTTCTCCTAGAAGGAAGCCTGAGCAAATGATGTCTACAAAAATGTTTCAAAATCGTGTCATACATCAGAATACTCAAGCTGAAAGCAAGGCCTTGCATTGAAGATGTCATTACTGTGGGAAAGCTGGTCATATCTAGCCTTTCTTCTTCAAGTTGTATGGCTATCCAAAAGGTACAACCCAGCCTAGGGTTAATCAAGGTGTGGTTAAAACTAAAAATAAATGGATTCCCAGGGAAGTTACTGTTAGACGATGACGCAGATCTAGAAGATGGGGGGGTTGAATAGATCGCTTGCTTAAAAGAGTCGGCGCTACCAATAAAAATGGTTTTTTAAAATTTGTTTAATTACGGAAGCGGCCGAGGAACTATACACGTCTAAAACGAATAGTTACTAGAAAACCGGATATGCGTTAAGCCTATGGAATCCGATAACGAGATATGAGAATCACTACGTTAATCACACTATCAATTTGATTCAGCTCATTATATGGTGTGACTAGCTCCAATTCCTTAAAAATATTAACACTATGAAAAGACAGCACATAAGGCTTTTAGTTCAGACAATTTATCAAACACTTGGAGTGCAGAGCACTAAAAGTGAGTTCTGTTTTGAGAGTGAATTGCTCAAGTTTCCTCTTACAATCAATGATCGTACTAGGAAATCAATTTAACACTACTTAAACCAGACCTAGATTGATATAATCGTTTTCACTAAAAACACAGATATTAAGCAATATAAATGTAAAGCAAAAGACACAACGATTTGTTGAGGCAGTTCCCCCGTCGTCCTCGCTCGGGGTACGTCTGCCCTCAATTATAATAATAGAATTGAGACCTGTTAATATATAAATATAACCTGTTATTGAAAGTTTATACAAGAAGCGAATAGCTATCAAACAAACGAACACTATTGTTGTTGTAGATCCTATTTCTTCTTGCCCCTTGATTCGAGTCGAATCAAGTACTTCGACAGCTGTGAATAAACCTCTGATTACGGCACTATCTTTGAACAACCTCCAGTCTTCAAAATCTGGCCCGGCTGATTTCAATCACCCGCGTGTCGAACCCGAAACTCCCACTCATAATCATCCGTTTACCGTTACTAAATCGACGGAACCTTCAGCTCCTCGATTACCTTCACTCAGCTGAATATGTGATGAGACGAATCATGCAAAAAACCCCAAATTCAAAGAATCTTGGAAGGAAAAACCCTAGAGGTTTTATTCAAGAAAAACCTGTCGATTCCTCAACCCGAACCAGATAACCAAATCTTCGGCTTTAAACGTTATCACCTCTAACAATGCACAATGCACAACAAAGATGATTATGTGTAATTGTTGTGATATGCTATGAAGAGAATGAAGATGATGAGAACCAAATCAACACCTATTTCACTTTTCTTGTTTTTCTCAATGTTGTGAAGTGAAAGTAGCAACTGGACTCATATACCAAACATAACTGACATAACAAACAAAACCACTTCACAAAGACAGTTGACATAACAGAAAATTGACATAAAACAACGAGCGGTCGACCTATGCAGAAGAGAGGGTCGACCTGAGCTGACCCGATTGTAAAATTGTGCAAATCACAGAATCATGCGTCGACTGGAACAAGGTATGCGTCGACGCATATCATGCATTTTTAGACAGATTAAAATACTTACAGTATGAGTCGACCGATGGGTCGACGCGAGCCCACCTGAAGCAAATACACAAAACTGACTTACAGTGTGAGTCGACCGAAATAGATCTTTGGTCGACTCGAAGCCCTGAAACTGTCAAAAATGCATATTTTCATATTTTTCGACACTTTTGATGACATCTATGATATGGCAAACCACACCAACAAAGTCAAACTCATATGACACATGTTTTTGAGAATCTATATGCAACAACCGCGATATTGTATGCCAGCATTTGAATTATGAGAAACAAGACATGTAAATGCAACATGGTGATAACACCCAACATATGTTCTTCTGTGGAACGGAGTTTTGACATCATCGAAACAAACACATCTATATATGAGGCTTTGCCCTCACAATTACTACTTCACTTATTGCTCAGACTTCTCTTAGAGTTTCAGGTAAAGAAGACTGATATTTTGATAGCGGATGGCTCTAGACATATGAATGGAGTAAAGAAGTTTCTGGTAGACATTAATTCCCACTCTACCAGTTATGTCACTTTTGGTGATGGTGCCAAAGGTGAAATTCAGGGAGTTGGAAGACTAGCTTGTACTGGATTCCTTAGTCTTGATAATGTTCTCCTTGTCAAAGGTCTAAATTGCACGACCATCAATTCAGATGCATTACTGTTGTTTTAAGATGGTGTATGAAGGGGTAACACGGCACCCTTGTTCATGTGATTGGTTTACCTTGAGGGTGAGTAGATGCGGTTCTGTGTGACAGTGGGAGCTATATGCATATGAATTGATGGTCGTGAAATTCAGGGAGAGTTTAGTTCTTTGGTGTGTGGTGCATATGTTTGTTGCTACTAATGTAATGCCAGACATGATGTTTTGACGTGGTGCCTCATTTGTGTTGGAAGTTCCTGTGGTTCTTGTTGTGTGAGACTTTATTTCTCTCAGTGTGATTCTGATTCATTTAATTTCCGCTGTTTGTGCCTCTTATTTTTGTGTGTTTGTTTTCTGTTTCTCTAGTATTTTATGCAAAGTTGTTTTAGCCAAAATTTGACAAAAGGGGAGATTGTAAGTTCTGTAATATTGAGTCAGATGTGCTGACATGTTGGTCAGACTTCACTGATGGTCAGCACGATGTCGTTACCTGATGTCATGACATGTTATACTAGAAGTTTAGGGTTTTCTGTTTTCGAAGATTTGTTATTTAAAGTGTGAGATTCTATATGATTTTAGTTCTCACTCTGTCGCAATCCAAGGAGAGATATTTTAGGAATATCTGTCTATGCCAGAAGTGCATCTGTTTCATAAAAAGAATCTTAGAGACTTTTTAGGAAACTTGTTTTTTTAGTTCCTATTTTTGTGTAGAAGATCTTGGAGAAGATTTGAAGTTGTTGTTTTGGGATTTGCGAATTATTTAGCTGAAGAGCCCAAGCCCATGTTGTTCAATAGATATAAAACGAGCAGCTCTAAACCTAATGCATTGAAAAAAGATCGTATATTGAAAGAGAGTATTAGGGTTTAATGTGTCTTTGTTGTTTGTGATCCACTCATATATCTCTTTGATATCTGAGTTGGACTGTGTTATTTTTTGTGTTATTCGTGAGTCATTCATGTACCACTTAGGTGCTTGAATTAGACTGAGTTGTGAGTTATAATCACTCATAGGCTTTTAAGCAAACAGTGGATTTTGTGTCTTTGGACGTGTGTCTTCCTCTTTGATTGCTTTTGTTGATTATCATTGTTATGTGATTGAGGGAAGTGAGAGGAGTCTCATATCCAGGAGTTCCTAGGTAGAAATAGCACGGGTATTGATTAGGTGAGAAGTTGTAAACCAGAGGTTGTTTGCTGAGGCTTCAAACTAATACTATTATAGTGGATTTCCTTCCTGCCTTGGATGCCCCCAGATGTAGGTGAGGTTGCACCAAACTGGATTAACAATTGACTGTGTTATTTATATTCAAGCTTTTAATTTAACTTCATAATTGTTAGCGTTGTTATATTGTCTTGATCCTAGTATCGTGGCATCTTACTCGACTTCTAGTATTTGTTACCAGAATTTCATAATCCTCCTACTTTGTTGGAAAAGAAAAAGAAGTGAAATGATACTTAGAAGTATCACATAGAGAAAGTTGGTAAGACTTCGTGGCTTGTGTGGTCATAAGGTTGTTACCAACCTGTGGTAAAAAAAATGAAACAATTAATAGTAACATAAATATTAAGTGTCACAGTACCTAATATTTGTTCTACTAGAGCAGCTGACTCATTATTAATGTTATCAAAATGTCTCAATTGTATCAATTAATAAAATGTCAGTCTCAAGTAATATTAATTAAGTCGATCTGAGTTCACTAATTATTCTAATTATCTCAACTTATAACTTTCAGAGTATATAACAATTTCAGTTGATCTCAACTGATATTATTTAAATTATTTTAGACTATTACTTATAACTTTTAGAGCATATAAAAATTTGATGTCAACTGATATTATTTAAAGTATTTTAGAGAAATAGCTTAATATTACAATTCTCATTGATCTCTTTGTCATATTATTAAAAGTTTGTATCCCGTCCATTTTATGCAGAATCTTCTAAACAAAAGGATGAAACTATTATTGAAGAATATAGAGAAAGGGAATGAAAATCATCACTTGCGATCAATTCACATAAGAAAGAGTTTTAGCTTTTCAAACTAGTAGTAATATTTTGCATTATTTTGTGTTATTATTATTGTCCACTATTTAATTGACACGAACTCAAACCTCATGCACAGCACTACATTTATTACTAAGTTATTAACTGGAGTGCAAACAGGAAACTTCTTGTCTGTTAATCTAGCTTCAAGATTTGGTTTGTGTTTCACTCAGACTACATGTTGTAGAGCATTAAATCACAAAATCAGTAGTTTGCAAAATTTAGTATTTTAGTATATTATAGAGGTATTCAAAATATTTTAAACAAAATCATTTTAAAATATTTTAATTTAATTATATTCTAGTATAAGACTTATAAGTTGTAACACAAATTTAAATTAAAAAAAAAATGTCAGTTACCAAAATAACTCAGAATTCATATTACAGCAGGTGAATGATTTTTAGTTTAACCGTGTGCTGTGCAGTTTTAAATTAATTTTTATGTTTTATAAGGAGTTTTAATTATGTTAAAAAGTTCTTTTTTTATAAATTGATCAATAAATTTATATTATAATAATTTGATCCATAATCGGATTGTTTAATAAAAAGCTTTTTCTTAAAAAATATTATGATTATGGTAGATGAGAAAAAACTGCATGTGTAAAAATGTTTTAGAATGAATCTGAAAATTTTGCACTAAAATAAATATGTTCCGAATTGAAAATTAAGAACAGCATTCTTTAAAATGCAGGAACCATCAACAAAGATGTGCTATCATTCTCTCCTTTCTAGATTACACAACTGTTTGTACAAGAATTTTGAGAGCACTAAATTTTTGTGCCAGGATAAAAACACTCAATGCTATTTTCCTTGATCTTGAAGTGAAAATTATGAATCTTAACAGGTGAAATTCCATGTTGCTTATGTAACACCATCAACTGCATCAGATGACAAACAAAACATGATCAGAGTAAGTTTATGCAATCCAATTTAATCGATAATCCATGGCTATAGACAGTGATTGCTAGTTTGCTACATCAATCTTAAGACAAGATAAAGATAAACCCCTGGAATCAGTGCAAACAAAAGCATGAAATATTTGCAGTTGCAGTATCACAACTACAACATAATTCAACATTTGAAAGATAAACAAAAATAACTTATTCTTCTCCCTTTAGATTTATTTTGTAGCAACCGCAACATGCATTAACAACGCCACTGATGATAGATAATTTGAGTGATTAAAATGAGAAACTGGAAGAGTGGAACTGTGGCTCAGACATGATTTAGAAGTACAAAAAAACATGAGAAACAGACAACTTGCACAAGAACAAAAAACTGTCGTTTATTTCAAGGCTAATATTGTTTTTTCTTGATAAAAATGTCCGATATCAGTTCTTCAATTACCAGTATAAATTTATAAATCTGAATAGCATTTTCAACAATTGGTAGAAGGGAAGAGCTGAGTCATTTACATTTGTATCCAAATCCCAGGAGGAATCAGGGGCCAATTATTTCAAAAGATATGCCCTTGAAGAGAAATTTCATAGAACAAGAACTGTAAGCTTAAATACAAGGACCCGTTCTTAGCTTCATGCTTGAGTAAAGAAAAGTAGAGACAAGATTTGTCCAATCAAAATGTTGGTTTTGTCAGAGGTTCAAAAGTCAGATCTATGAATGGTGGAAAGATATGACTCAATCTCTAAAAAAGTGAGAATTGGATCCTTCCTCTTCTCAACAGAAAAACCCAATTTTTAGCTTAATCTAATGGCTGGAAGACCAAAAGCTCAAATGATGAAATGAAACACATTAAAAAAACTCAATGCACATAGGATATCTGATGTAAATTGTGTGATGGATCAAGCAAGTGGCCGTCCATGGCGGCATCCTAGCATCACCACGACGGCGGCATCCTAGCATCACCACGACGGCGGCTTGGCATTGCCATATCAGTGATATCACATCGCAACAAAGGTGGGAATGAGGAACAAGAGAAGATGGCAGATGTGTCAAATTTTGTGCGATTTAAATCTTCTTTTTCTTGGGCATTCTACACAGCTCTGAAGTAGGAATGGACATTCAAATTTTACTGCGCAATTCTCCTTACTTCATTTTTAATTGTATATATTTTTCATCTCATTTAGATAGTATGATTGATTGTATTAATTAAATTGATGGCATTGTCTTTTGTTGTGAAGAAAAAGTTGCAACACACTGGTTAGCATCTACAAAGTTTGCTAGACTGTCTGAACCAGAACCTTTTTTGTCTCATAACAATGTATAAGAACCAAAGCAATAATTGAAAAGGCTCAGAGCAAAAGTTCCAGAGTTTAAAAGCAACATTTGTGATGGTAGACATACCCTAGCTAGGCAAAGTGATGGTATTTGATAGTGAGAAGCAATTGATCGGCATTTGATTACTAAAGATACCTTCATTGACGAGAGAAGATAGGTGGTCGGCGACATTTTCGGCACTAGTGTTTGGACTGTGTTTCATTTTATGTCAGATTTTATTTTTAATGATTTGGACTTTTAGATTTTGAGCGATTAGATCAATCTAATGCCCAGGTTTTGATGTTGAGAGAGATTGGCCGGATAGACTGATTGAGAGGATCAAGTTCCAAAAAAATGGAAGTCAAAGAGAGGTCGTTCTATTTTAAATATTATTTTACTCAATATTTTAAAAACCGGACCAGAGATGAAACTAGTGAGCCCTCCGGGTCATGGTTTAATTGGTTTAATCTATTAAAATACGGTTGAACCAACTAGAATTAGACCCACAAGCAAGTTGGTCTATTCCCAGTTCAGTTCAGTTTTAAAAAAAAGAAAAGATTTTACGCCATTAATATTTTCAAAAAATGTCGAATCATATATTCAATTTAAAATAATGAACTTATTAAGTTGAATGATAGAAATATACCTGCCCATGCACATCTTTTGCCAAACCAGTGGCCAATGGTTCAGCCTTGACCAAAATGTCAGCAAGGTGTTCCATCTCTAAGATAATGTCAGGCTTCTCTTCATTCAAATAAATATCCTTATGGTCAAGTGCAATGAATGCACAACCCTGTGATAAGAACAGATAAGTGAAGAACAAGAGAAATATTGAAATCGATTTGAAAAACAGTCAAGTCAATGATATTATCTTACATATTCTGATGTTAGTGTATAGCAATAATGCAGGAAGTCTAAAACATCATTTGAAGAGCCATTGGCAGCAACTTCAAGAAAAGAGATATCATCTATCATGATAGTGACAAATTTCGTGTTGTCTTGAGGTAATGCCTTGATCACTCTTTCAATTTTCTCAAATACAGCAGCAAAACCATTTTGATTGGATTTTCCTTCATCTAGTCACATATAACAACGATATTACTCAGTCAAGTACACAATCCTCAGACACAAATGAAATGTCAACATTTTTTGGTAAACTACCACCAACTAAAATTACAAAATATTAATTTAGCAGCTATCCATTTTTTACAGCAGTTATGCATGGAATGAAATAATTTCACTATTTAATATGGCTTGCTCTTAAAGTTAGTCATTTATAATAGCTCTTGGGGGAGAAGATTTTCTGTTGCCGGTTGTTGTCCTTACAGAGTAACCTTGAGGACAAGGGAAGTTCTGAGGAGAGAAGTGTTGATGTGAGGTGAAAGAAGAGGTGTGATAAAAAGAGTCACATTCTAGAAAAGTAGGAAAGTATTGGTTGTGATTCAGAAGACAGGGCTATATTTAAGGAGTAATAATTACAGAAGGGATGCTGGAATTGGTTAGGGCTTTTGGGAGAGATGAGGTACTCTCTATTTGCCTAAGTATATATTATCTTCTTTTTTATATTTGATACCGCCTAAGTCTATATTATATTCTTTCTCTATTTGCTCAAGTCTCTTATCAATTTGATACTGCCCTTAATTCCATTACATACACATTTCAATTTTTTATTTAGGTTCCTACCAATATGTGTATAAATAAGATAATGGATTTAGAGATAACTTATCTAGTCATTCGAGAAAGTGATGGAGCCTTTTGGACATATGAAGCCATGTAATCACAGACCCTCAAAGTTAATTGCAATCTAAGCTGTTAAAAAAAGGAATTTTCTCCTAAATACTACTCCCTCCATCCTACAATGAGTGACCCATTTTGTATAAAACAAAATTGTCCTAAAATGAATGACCCTTTTCAATTTTCCATGCAATATTAATTACTTTTTTTCAATTGCATCCTCTAATTAATACTACTTGCATCATTTCACTTTGCATTTATGATAATTGTGAATCCACCAAGTACTAGATACTAAGGATTTAGGTTGTAACAACTTTTCCTGAATGACAAAGGGAATGTATAGAGTCAAAGATAAAAGTGAGGTAAATGTATAGAAATGGGCCTCTAGTTTGATCAATATCTAAGCAATTGGAGAACTATTCCTTAAAATCTAACTTTCAAAGGTGAAGAAGAAAACCATTTAAATACTCCACCTAGCATCTATACTACTCAGCAGGGGACTTGAACATATCCTATAATGCCAATGTTCCTATCACGACACCGCCTCTGAGAGCCAACATCATAACGGTCTCTACGACGTTCTTTTCAGCCTTTCTCATCAACCCCTTCGTAAATAAACCTTATTGAGCCACTCATAACAAGGCACTCGATTGATACTTACCAAGCACTTGAAGAACCCTCCATTATAAGCTAGCTATCAAGGGGGAAGAACCAATCCACTTAAACACTCCCACAAAGCATCCCCATATTGTGGGACTTGGGCACCCCATAATACTCAAGTTCCTATCACAATTGTGGCAAAAGCCTTTACGCGGCCGCAAGTGTAATTTAAAACCTTAATATCAAATGTCCCAGCATTCTTTTACTATTTGAGTTGTACTTACAGATAGTAATTTTATGTTTTTTTATTGTAGTTTATACTTAGCTGAAACAGTTTTTGCACTAAATTTAAGAAACAACACACTAGAAAGTAACGATTGAATATTATCTCAAATAAAACATCTTTGCTCTATTCAACTTTGTCAAGCAAATGATAAGGACAAACTATGAAAGAAATGAAAGATACCTGAATTTCTCACCTGGAAACTGCAACATAAGCAAGTCAATGAAAAAGAATCTATTATTATCTCTGTGAGCAGCCAAGTTGCAACCCTAAAACAGAAAACCCTAAAAAATAAAATTATTGTGACAAAACACTGAATAATAACAATACAAAATGGAAATGCGGAGAGAGAAATGAGGAAGTTACAATTTTCCTGAGAATGCGATCGTAGTGGGAGAAAGGGTTGGAGAGGGCGAGGAAGATAACAGACGAAGAAGGGTGAGAAGAGAAGGTGCGTTTGAGGATATGGTGAAGAACGAAAGCAGCGCTTGTGTCAACAGTGTCTTCTACAAGCACGAAGCGACCGTAGAGGTTGTTGTTGCTGTGAAGACCTAAGGATTCATTCAGAAGGTTCAATTCTTTGTGTTCCATCGTTTTTGGTTATTGGTTTCTCTGCAACAAAGACTTCAATGGCGTTACGGTGATATCACAATGGATCCGGCTCGGGTATGCCCGAATAGTTATGGATTTGTATATATTTATTTATTTCAAAAAATATTATGAGTTTTTTTTTTAATATATAGCATCATGTAAAAATATAAAAATGAATTTTTGAATGAGATTAATTGTTATAGATTGTTAGTGTAAATTATTTTACACAGTCATTGTATCACAACCACTCATAAATATTATTTTATAAATGATTAAAATCAAAGTCAAACTGTAATTAAAATCTAACGGTCGCGACTAACTGATAATGTAAAAAAAAATTTACATGGTCGATGTATATCAATTAAATTCTTTTCAAATACGCATTCCAAGTAAATAGAATTTTGATTTGACGTTAAAACACTTTAGAAATGCATTTTCGAACAGTATTGGTTTTAAAACGCGTCAGAACACTTCTCTTTCCTCACTTCTAAAACAACACTCTAAAAATTTTCTCAAACTCTCTGAACTCATATTCTCTCAAAATCAATCAACTAAATTTAAAGCTTCTTCCATCAATATCAAAGACATCATTCAACACCGAAATAAATTCTCAATTTGTAAGTTTTTTATTTTTGTAAGCTTTTGAGTTTTTGTACAAATGAGTAGGAATTGATGATTAGGTTAAGAAATAGATAATTTTTGCATGATTGATAGTTTATACATATTGAAAAATGTGTTTGATTGTTAAAAGTAACAATTAAAGCATTATTTTTTGTGTTTTGTGGTCTGCATTATCGTCATTGATGAAGTTGAAAGTTGCAGAAAATTCCAGAGATGCATCTCCAGAATTTTTTAACGTTTGAATTGTCAGTAACCGGAGATGCATCTCTGTAATTTATTTGTCTTTTTTTTCTTCTTATTTGTAGGGTTGATTGTAGTAATTGCCAAACACTTGTCTTGTTTACTTACATGCATTATGACTAATAGAGACGACAGGCTAAGGCACGAGAGGATTTTACAGCATGCATCAGTCTGAATGGAGAATAGTCAGGTTTCAGAGGCTCCTGTTCACTCTAACTCGGTTCATGCAGAGGCATCGACTTCTACGGTTCATGATTCTCCATCTTCTTTTTATCGTAGGAGACAGGCATCACCTGTTGACACATCAACGTCTTCATCTTCCCATAGACGATAGGTTTCACCTATTTAAGCGTCAGACGTAACGTCCCGAAATTTCAAAACCTTTTATTAAAAATACTATGTCAAGCTAAAAATAAAAGGTTTTGAAATTAACCCAACTTGGCGACAATTCAAAATCATAAGCAGAAAATCACCGCATTTCTAATCCATTTGAAGGGAAATAAATAAATAACTTAAAATATAATGAAATCAGTTTATCAACTACTGAAGTATTTTTATTTTGAAAAACCCTTCTTCCCCACAATCCTGCGACAAGCAAACAACTACTGAAGTATTTTTATTTTGAAAAACCTCTTCTTCCCCACAATCCTGTGACAAGCAAACATCAATCAATCTTGAAACTCCACATTGTACCTAAAATGTTGTTGTAAGGGTCAGTTTTCATTAACCACATCCATGTCAAAAATAAACTAAACCAAAGTTAAAAATTAGAAAAAAAACATAGATATACACATCATGTCCAAGAGAAATAAATAAAAGAAAAATCCACCAAAGTTGTTAATATCGAACTGTAACCAATACAGAATTCACATGAAATAATTAACTCAAGAGTAACAACAACAACAACAACCATAAAGAGTTATATGCAAACTATGCATGCTTTTAAATCTAAATGATCCGGATATAAACTGCCACACAGACAACCAACCACAAAGGCAATTCGCTACAAAGGCAATCACATAGAGATCTTTAAATGCCACAAAGGCAATCACACATAGATCTTTATCCGCCGCTACACAAAGATCTTTGTCTGCCACTAAGGCAATAGCACAAAGATCTTTATCTGCCGCTAAGACAATCACACAATGTATATGACATGCCATGCACGATGAAACTAATAATGTAATTCCGCCACTTAGACAACCAAACATCACTAGCAAAATACATCACCATGCACATGACTAGAATAATAATTTTAGGCGCCAGGTTTCACCTATTTAGGCATCAGAGGTACCCAAGTCACCAGAGGTACCTAAGACACAAGTGCCACCACAGGCACCAAATAGACCTCATGCTGATGAGCTAGTGCCACCTCAGACTGATGAAGCTGCTGAGCTAGGGCCATCTAAGGGTTTTGAGGCTGATTGAAATTCTAGTAACAGACAGTGGATGGTATGACATCCACTACTGAACAGACTATTAACTTAAAAGAAAACAGGAACTGAAAGCAGTAAATAACACAGGGAATTGTTGACCCAGTTCGGTGTAAATCACACCTACATTTGGGGGCTACTAAGCCAGGGAGGAAATCCACTATAAGCAGTGTTAATTTAGAGCCAAACTACCAGTTTTCACTCTTCACTTAAGACCTACACAATGCAACTTCAGCCTAACACTAGACCTGAGTTCCTACTCACTCCCCCTCAATCACAGCAGTGATATCAACCTTAAAGTTACAGATTAAATGAAGACACGCTTCAAACAAATCTTGATCTTGCTTCACAGCTTCAATCAAGAGACACAACACTCGTGCTTAAAAGCTTAGAGTGACACAAACAAAGTACAACTCACGACACACTAGTCCAATGCAATCATCCAGGAGATAATTGCTTGGCTCACTAGAAATCTTAAGACACAAACACACACGTGAAGATCACAGTACACAGACTGAATTCTTCACTCACAAACAACTCACCAAAAACTCTGTAAACTCTCTCCAGAACTCCCTTGAATTAGGATTGCTACTTTGTTATTTATAAGCAGCAGAAAGATCTTGGGCTTCAGTGCAGAAATTAGGTTTAACCAAGTTAAACCTCTTTTCATAAATCAGCACACTTTTAATTAGGTCATAGGCATTTCCTGTTATGCTCAGAACTGCCTAGCATTTCGCCTGAGATAACTAGGATCCCTAAAATGTTTCCTGAAATCTAGTCTGAGCTACCTCATGTAATATACTAGAAAACTAAAACACGCGCCCTTGATGTCAACTACCTGATGTCATGACATTCAGTATGACATCCAATACACTTTGCTCTAGCTAACCAAGCTTACCCTGCAGAACACTACACAAGCATGTCATGACATCAATCATGACATCTACACACACACAACAATGTTTTACCATAAAATGCAGCCAATCAAAAACATCTACAAACTCCCCCTTTGGCAAAATTTTTGGCTAAAACAATCTGTCACCATATCAGAGAACATAAGCAGCAAAAAAGTTCACAACACATCTAATCATGCAGGATAGTTACTAGCTAATACTACCACTACTACCAAAACAGATTCACTACACTACCAATCTCACACAATCATACAGACTGTTCTGGATTATGAATGTCCAGACATCATCCTGAAAACACCTGTTCCAAGCACAAAATACCACCTGCTAGTTCAAACTACAGATGTCACAACATTGAGTGAAACATCCTGTGATACTCCCCCTCAACTGATGCACAACCAAACACAATCTGCAAGCAACCTGCACCTACAGAAATACACACTTCCAAGCACAAGCACCTAACAGTAATAACCACACACACACACAAGATCATCATCCTACTCACACATATACACCTTCAGCACATCTTCAGCACACCTGTAACACACCTCAGAGCAGCAACATATCATCAGCACACCTGCAAACCTGCTCAGTGCAAACATGCACAACAGCAAACCTCAAACTTATCTTCCACCTGTGAAGGACAACAACTAACCACAATTAAGCCTGTAGCAACAAATCATCAACACACCTGCTGATGCACAAACAACTAAACCTGCTAGTTCTACTACTACTTCCCCCCCTTTTTAGCCACAAAATTAGATCATAACTAAGGAATTAGTATTGATCATACACAGTTGGAAACACAAATTTAAGGGTATGGAAACCCAAAATTACAAAATAAAACAAAATATCCCATTCTGTCAAGGCAGACACCAAAAGCAAAAATCTTAACCAAAAGGAAATACTAGCCAAAACAACAGACCATCAGCATCAGCACGCCATTAGCACACTATCAAGGCAGACAATTTAATCTTCCTCCTTAGAAGAACTGGAGGCAATGTCTTCAACATCTGTTGAGACATCTTCATCACTATCATCAGACTATTCCCCTGGCATAGTTGCATTATTGGTGCCATGGATATTATCTAAACTGTGAGGTGGATCAATGCGAGCAAGAGGGTGGAGATACCACGCACTATACGTCCTTTCTGGAGAACTTTCGTGACAAGTTCCCTAATGGATCTGTCAACATATGCAGAATCTTCCCTGTTTTTCATTCTAGCAAAGTCATCAGCAGTGGGAGAAGAATTACCTTGGGAGTGTTGATTGGAATTTCCAACTTGGGAAGATGTCGTACCAGAAGCATCTTCAACGGATTTGGGATGGTTCTTGGATGGAGAAGCATCTTGATTGAAGGACATTTTGTTGTTGATAAGAGAACAATTGAAGAGATGAGGCGTATTCTGAGGAGTAGGCAAAAAGGATATAATTGTAGGTATATTGATATAACACGATTGTGTGGAATAGAGAGCTTTAGTGGTCAAGGGCGTTGAATGCATTAAAGTTGGGGGTTGGAACAAGTTTCCCCAATAAGGCTTATTTTAAACTGAAAACTCCTTCTTTCCAGTAATTGCTATAAGTCCTCACACATGCAAATTCCCAACTTTCCTCTTAGATTCTCAAATTGAGCAGCATCTAGAGCCTTTGTAAAAATGTCAGCTAGCTGTAGTTCTGTGGCCACATGCTCCAGGGTAATCACTTTGTCTTCCACAAGGTCTCTTATGTAGTGATGTCTGATATCAATATGCTTGGTTCTGCTATGCTGAATTGGATTCTTAGAAATATTGATAGC